ACATCAAAAATGCAGTTTCTGAGGCAAAACCAAGAAATAGAGAAGAACTGTGGAATGTAGTCCAATCATCCTGGGCTGGAATACCTGTTCACAGGTGCCAGAAGTTGGTTGACTCCATGCAACACAGATGTACAGCAGTTCTCAGAAACAGTGCTTATACAACTAAATATTAATGAAGTGATTCAAAGGAAAGCAAAATCTTCAAACATTTTTCAGTTTATATAGTGAATGTTTGAGTTTGTAAAGAAGAATAGAAACAATTGAGTACTGTCCGTGATACTTTTTTTATTTGCACTAACATACAATATTGAGGACAAGCTTTCGGGGTATGTCCCCTTCTTCAAGGTCCAAGCAGCACTAATACGGCTACAATCACCTCAAGCATAAAGAAGAATACAAACACTGCTCTTTTTTTGAACAGTCTCATATTCACTTTTCTTAAATTTGTTTAGAGGAACAACACAAATTTGATATATTTTTTTTCTTCCTGTTTTGATTTGGAATAGAATGTGTAGTGTTCCCAATGCATTTGTGTGTATGGAAATAAAAGCTATTAGAAGGATTTTGAGCTGTATTCACTTTTTTCAACACACTGCTATTATTTTGAACACAACTGTACATGTGTTACATAGATTCTTCCATCTGTGTGGCCCCCTTTGTCCCAGTGGGACCTTAATTTGGTTTTGTGGATTTTGCAGATTTCTCTCTTTGAGCCTGAGAGATTTCCTTGTTCCTTCTTACAACCAAGGTGCCTTTTTAGTTGCCACTACTTCTGCTCACAGGGTATCCAGGTTGGCTGCACTTTCATGCAAAGAACCATTCCTGGTTCTTCACCAGGATAAGGTGGTATTGAGGCCTCGGTCTGTTTCTTCATTCTATCTGAATCAGGACATTGTGTTTTCCCATCTTTTTTTTCCTAATCCTAAGCATTTTAAAAAGGTGCTTCACTTTGGATGATGTTGTAGCGGTTCAAATTTATCTCAAGTCTATAGCTTTGTTTCAGCAATCTGAATGCCTGTTCGTTCTACTTGAGTGTCCTTTCAGGGTTAGTTTGACTCTTAACTCACTATTTATAGGTGGATTTGTCAACCTATTTCCTAGGCCTATAGTATTAGGGGCATGGCTCCTCCTTTCCATGTTAAGGCTCATTTCACTATGAGTGTCAGTGCTTCCTGTGTGATTCTGCGTTAGGCTTCTGTTGTTCACATTTGTATATGATGTTGTTGTTCATATTTGTATATGATATGATATATGATATGATAATGCCCCCTCAGGCACCAATTTTGGGTGAAATCTTACAGGCAGCTTTGTAGTGGAGTTCTTCCCTATTCTGTTTTTGGGTTTGGGCATGTTGGCCTTGTTGCTGTGCTGCCCACTCCTCATGTTCATTGCTTTGAGACATCCCATGTGGTCATGAATATGATGAAACCTGTGTCCTGTGGTACGATTATAAAAATAGGATTTTTACTTGTGAAATCTTTTTATTGAAGTACATCATAGGACACAGAAATACCGCAGACACTCAGAGGCTCAAGGAGAAAAATGGAGGGCATCGGTTCCTCTACATGCTGCCCCCGCCACCTCCCTTTCCCTGCTGTGCTCCCCTGGCTCCCCCTCGCCCCCTAAACTGTGTTTATTATGCTTCCTTTTATGAATGAACAGGAAACTCTGCATGGAACTATTCCTGTTCATTCATTCTGTGCTGCTGAGGCTGCAGAAATGGAGATTGAGGTGTCCTCAATCTCCTTTTTCTGTCTCAAAGGTGAAACATCAGAGGTCTGTTTAGACCCCTGATATTCCACCAAAGCCGCCAAAGGGGTCCTAAAAAAAGATACAAAATTAAAATTGTAAAAAAATAAATAAAATGGTTTAAAAAAATTAAATAAAACAGCAAATATACACCAGTGGCAGAAATACCAGGGTCGCAAAGGCTGCACTTGCGGGCCCTGGTGTTACGCCATCATGGGGGGACCCCAACACGTCAAGAAGGGGGGATGCTATGGAACCATAAAAAAGGGTTCCACAACAGGAGTAAAGGGCCCTTCACATTTTCTGAGAGTGGGGCCCTGAAGATTCTCATTACGGCTCTGGATGTTACCCTGCAAGCACCAGTTTTGGGTACAAGATCTTGCAGGCAGCTTTGTAGTGGGCTTCTTCCCTACTTTTTTGTTTTTGGTTTGGACATGTTGGCATGATTACTGTGTTGCCCACCCCCATATGTAGTGCTTTGGGACATCGCAAGTAGTCATGAATATAATGCACTAAGGTCCTTTGGTGTATGTTTATGAATGTCTGTTTCCTCACTGCTTGCTACCAAACTGAGACTTAGCTGGGCTGGGAGGGGTTATGGCTGGGTGAAGAATCCCTGCCTTTTTTGGCCAGTGTCCATTCACCTGAAGGTGGCAGCATAACTTAAGTAGTCAGGAATATAGAGTAACAACAAAGAAAAATACCCAGCTCACTTGCCAGCCTGCAATAAACCAAATTGTCCTAACAGTTCACGTTAAAACCAGGGGTTTAGTTTGCAAATATATGCTTAAAGCTGCAGGGCCACTTCAAGACACCCTAGTGTACTAGTGTTAGGACTGCAGTACACTAGGGTGCCATGAAGTGGCCCTGCAGCTTACACATACAGTATCTCACAGAAGTGAGTACACCCATCACATTTTTGTAAATATTTTATTATATCTTTTCATGTGACAACACTGAAGAAATGACACTTTGCTTAAATATAAAGTAGTGAGTGTACAGCTTGTATAATAGTGTAAATTTGCTGTCCCCTCAAAATAACTCAACACAGCCATTAATGTCTAAACTACTGGCAACAAAAGTGAGTACACCCCTAAGTGAAAATTTCCAAATTGGGCCCAAAGTATCAATATTTTGTGTGGCCACCATTATTATTTTCCAGCACTGCCCTAACACTCTTGGGCATGGAGTTCACCAGAACTTCACAGTTTGCCACTGGAGTCCTCTTCCACTCCTCCATGACGACACCACGGAGCTGGTGGATGTTACAGACCTTGCGCTCCTCCACCTTCCGTTTGAGGATGCCCCACAAATGCTCAATAGGGTTTAGGTCTGGAGACATACTTGGCCAGTCCATCACCTTTACCCTCAGCTTCGTTAGCAAGGCAGTGGTCGACTTGGAGGTGTGTTTGGGGTCGTTATCATGTTGGAATACTGCCCTGTGGTCCAGTCTCTGAAGGGAGGGAATCATGTTCTGTTTCAGTATGTCACAGTACCTATTGGCATTCATGGTTCCCTCAATGAACTGTAGCTCCCCAGTGTCGGCAGCACTCATGCAGGCCCAGACCATGACACCCCTACCACCATGCTTGACTGTAGGCAAGACACACTTGTCTTTGTACTCCTCACCTGGTTGCCACCACACACGCTTAACACCATCTGAACCAAATAAATGTATCTTGGTCTCATCAAACCACAGGACATGGTTTCAGTAATCCATGTCCTTAGTCTGCTTGTCTTCAGCAAACTGTTTGCAGGCTTTCTTGTGCATCATCTTTAGAAGAGGGTTACTTTTGGGATGACAGCCATGCAGACCAGTTTGATGCAGTGTGTGGCGTATGGTCTGAGCACTGACAGGCTAATCCCCCACCACTTCAACCTCTGCAGCAAGCATACGTCTATTTCCCAAAGACAACCTCTGGATATGACGCTGAGCACGTGCACTCAACTTCTTTGGTCAATCATGGCGAGCCCTGTTCTGAGTGGAATCTGTCCTGATAAACTGTTGTATGGTCTTGGCCACCGTGCTGCAGCTCAGTTTCAGGGTCTTGGCAATCTTTTTATAGCCTAGGCCATCTTTATGTAGAGCAACAATTCTTTTTTTCAGATCTTCAGAGAGTTCTCATAAGGTGCCATGTTGAACTTCCTTTGACCAGAAGGAGGAATGAGAGAGATAACACCAAATTTAACACCTACTCCCCATTCACACCTCAGACCTTGTACATTTACATTATAGCAAAGTTTCATTTCTTTAGTGTTGTCACATGAAAAGCAATAATAAAATATTTACAAAAATGTGAGGGGTGTACGCACGTCTGTGAGATACTGTATATTTGCAAATGTGTGCAAACGAAACCCCTGGTTTTAATGTAAACTGTTAGACAGGGCAATTCAGTGTGTTGCAGGCTGGCTGGTAACTAAATCTGGAATTTTTCTTGTTGTTTTACATGCATCGCCCTTCTACAGTATGTGCCCCTTGCTCAAAGGCCAGTTATAGGTTGGGGCAGTTGTCATTTGTTTATACTCTTAGGAACATAATGTACCCTGTGTCCTGTGATATAGTCCTAATCCTAATTTTAATTTGTAACAATGAGATTATATGTTTTATGACCCATACGTAACTGGAGTATATCTATAAAACTTAAAAAAAAAGGGTAGAGAGGCTGATTAACTAAAAACATTGTGTGAAGATTCTCAGTGTTTAAATTGTGTTTTAGTTATCCAATCTTATTAAACACTAAGGTGAACTTTTATACCATGTTACACCCATATCTACGGAGCAGCGGGTGTAAACGGACATGTGTCCGCTAAAAACAGACGGATCAGATGTCACTCAGATGTAAATGGACAGGCAGTCTGTTTACATCTGAACACCCATAGAGGACAGTGGGCTGTGTCTCTGTCCATTTTGCATAAACGCAGACCAGCATATGGACGCAGACCAGCCATCCACCTGCTCAGTGGGTTCAGGGAGCGACTTTCTAGGGGAGCCCACCCCGTGTGGGAGGGGCCTTACATTTATATGGCCAAATGCTTAGTGAAGCTGATTCCCAGTATAAACATAAGTGAAAAGGAAACTAGTGACGTTTATTGCACCATTTTTCTAGTGCAAAAGAACACATGCATCTTGCTTGTTGCTGTAGCCAACAACTTCACATTTATCTTTTTCAGGTAAGCCCCAGTCTATTTTAGTTGTGACTTCTTTTTATAATGGGTTCTGAAAATTTTAAGAAAATGAAGAAAGAGAAAACCTGAAATGAAGATCTTTAAAGGAAAACTGCGACTCAATGATTCCTGTAGTTTTCACTCGAGATCGGAGGACATCTTGTTCATTTGGAACATAGTTAGATGCTGTGATCCTATCCAGCTGATTCAAGTAACTATAAAGAATAATGAAAAACAAAAAAAATATAAATAACAGTAAAATCATTTTTGTGTTTGCAGAGAAAACGCTGGGCCCTTCTTTACCCAAGTGCCAGGTACCAATGCACTTAGTTCACATTCTTTTAGAAAGGATATAACACTTGTAAAATGTGATTGTAGATCAGTACTGTGGGTCCACGACCTCAAACAGCAAAAATGGAAGCTGCTTCATGTAATTAATTTCTCTACTTGCTTCTTGATTTCCTCCCAATTCAAAGTTTGTATGTGAGTTGTTGCTGACATGTCAATGTATGCAACATTTAGTGTTCCTGCATTCTAACATCTCTTTATCCTTGATTAAAACAAGCAGAAATAAGTGCTATGCACTCTGTTCATAGTCTCGAATGCTTGGACACAAATCATGACAGTAAAATATTTATCTTTACTATTATCAAACATTAATCACTTGTATACCAACTCCAGTGGCAAGGAAACATTTGCAATGAGTTTAGAACCTTAACAGCTGAACAGAACAGAAAACCAGGTACAGTATGTTTCTTGGGATAACCTTTACAGACATCTAACTTGGCTGGGCTATAACATCACCGGCACTTGCAGTGCAAAGCCTGTTTGCCTTTAGTAAATCAACCCTACAGACTAAAGAGAGCACAGACATCTCAGGAGTGCTTTCAAGGTTTGTGGCAACCCGTACTGGTCTTCTGTTAATACATTTACAAGGTCAAGTAAAAAGACAGGACCATCAAACTTAGGAAAGAGCAGAACATACGTGATAAAACCATCTTTTCATAATCATACTTTTTCCAGGACAGTGACTCGCTGGGTAATCTAAATGACAGCTCTGGAGTTCGCATCTTTAGAAACAAAGCAGTAGGAGCTCCATCATCTCTACCTTCACAGGTTACTTTTATCTGAAACCTTCTGTTACAATAAAAATGAACTAAGAACAAACTAATCTGGAGCTAATAAAGCACAAAGAGCAAAGCCATGATCAGGGCCGTGGATAAGGGGTTCCACCAGTCCTTCTGTATGGGCCCAGGCTGGGTGAATTAGATGTGGGCAGGGAGGGTGATCGGCAGACACTGTTACTGGGGGGGGATTTACTGGAAATTATCCCCTGTATGGCTGTCTCTGCAGAAACTGAAAGCTGGATTCTTCTCTTCTAACTCCCATTGACTTTCAGCTGCTGCAGAGAAAGCCATAAAGGGGATTGCTTCCAGTAAAAGCCCCCAGTAAGTGTACCCATCACCCTCCCTGTCCACCATATGTTTTTCCCCTGCCACCCAGGCACCCCAGTGTGCCCCCTACCAGCTTTCCTCCTCTCCTTCCCACTAAAAGCTGCAATCACACAACAGAATCCTTATTTCCTTCACTGTATTTGTAACACATTTTGCAAGCTCAAAATGCCATGAACTTTATGTACAACTTACTATGCAGCAGAGTCATTGAGCTGATATTCAGCTGCTCTTTCAAAACTGGCCTGTACACCATCATCCTTCCAGAGCTTCTTGATACAGTCCACAAGTTCTGGAGGCATTGTACCTTCCTCTATAGAGTCAGCGAGATGGCAAAGAATACGGCCATCATCCTGTTAGAAAAAGAAATAAACACAAAGCAAAAAAATGTGGTTGTTATATCTTGCAAATCAAGTAAAATATTTTAATTTGCATTGCAGGGTGAGCAACCTGTGTTGCCAGCAATTTAATAACATTCAACCCATTGCCACTGAATTATGCTGCATAATATAGCTTCAATCTGCTTGACAGAGTTGCAGCTTTTTTGTCTGATTGCACTATATGTGCAAAGGATGGGCTTCACTGGGCCAGCACCCAGTGTGATATATTTTGTGTGCAATATGAATGCAGGGGCAAAGCAACTACTAGGTTTCTCAACTCTGATGTGTCATATGAGTGGACTTGCAAAAAATGTAATCACTCTGCTGGGCCCACCTGCATCTAAGGTCTGGTGAGTTAATCTTCACAGAGGGAAGGGGGGAATTTTTCAAGTGATACCAACCACTGAACTCTGCATTACTGGCTACTGACCTCTGAACTTTCTGTTACTTACTACTGTCCTTTCAATTCTGCACTACTACTTACCATAACTCTGTGGTGCTTACTGCGGACCCCTACACTATGCATGACTTACTACTTACCTCTGAACTCTGTGGTTCCAACTAGAGTGCCTTGAAAAAGTATTCATGCCCCTTGAAATTTTCCACATTTCGTCATGTTACAAACAAAACCGTAAATGTATTTTATTGGGAGTTTATGTGATAGACCAACACAAAGTGGCACATAATTGTGAAGTGGAAGGAAAATGATAAATAGTTTTCAAAATTTTTTACAAATAAATATCTGAAAAGTGGGGTATGCATTTGTATTCAGACCCCTTTACTCTGATACCCCTAACTAAAATCTAGTGGAACCAATTGCCTTCAGAAGTCACCTAATTAATAAATAGAGTTCACTTGTGTGTAATCTCAGTATAAATACAGCTGTTCTGTGAAGTCCTCAGAGGTTTGTTAGAGAACATTAGTGAACAAACAGCATCATGAAGGCCAAGATCAGGGATAAAGTTGTAGAGAAGTTTAAAGCAGGGTTAGGTTATGAAAAAATCCCAAGCTTTGAAAATCTTACGGAGCACTGTTCAATCCATCATCTGAAAATGGAAAGAATGGCACAACTGCAAACCTACCAGGGGGACGTGGCTTAGCCATCCATGTGAGCTTTATCTTGTATTGAGACCTTCCTTGAGGCTGCATTTATCTGGGTCACCGACAGCACAGCCCATGCTGACATCTCTGCCACCGCTACTCCAAAGCACTATGACCATGACAAGGAAGAAGGAAGAGGGGGAAGCCACATCACGGCCTGCTCCCTCAGCGCTCATCAGAAGACTGCCAAAGGGAAGCTGTGGCTAAACTGGGCAAGTTCTCCCACTCTTCCAGCAAGGAGAAAATCCCTGATGCCTCTCTCTAGCTCTGGGGCAAAGAAACTTTCCTCTCTGGGAATCTCACAGCCGGTGCTGGTCCCTCAGGCCTCTGAAATTCCCTCAGCAGCCTCCAGCTCTCTCCTATTCTTCACACTGCTAGTCCTGAAGGGGATACTGAACCCCCAGAACCATTGCTAAAAGAAATATTAGTGGCAGTCCACACTTATGTAATTTTGTTCACACAGCTTACTATGTAATTCAAAAGAAAGAAAGAAGACATTTTATTTATTTGTCATGATATGTAAAAAATCAGAGAGAGGGTGACTGCCATTGAGGGCAGGGTGAGCACACTGGAGGATGAACTCCTTCCATTGCAACAAGATGTTCATTCTAACACTGCTAAAACTTGAGCTTGAGCATTCGGCCAGATTAGAGGACATGGAGAATCACCTATGCAGAAACAACCTTCACCTAGTATACTGAGGGAAAGAACCCTGAATAATTTATTGAGACCTGGCTACCTAATACATTCTGCAAAGATAATCTAACACCTTTTTTTCCTGTGGAAAGAGCCCACAGGGTGCCACCTCTCCCTCCACCACCAGGGGGCCCTGACAGACCTTTTCTACTGAAACTTTCACATTATAAGGATAGAGATATTCTCTGACTCGCTAGACAACAGCCTGCCATGGAGATTCAAGGGGGAAAATGTCTATATTTCCAGATTTCTCGGCTGAAATCCAGCGTAAGCAAGCCAGATTCACTGAAGGTAAATGCCACCTGCGTACGATTCAGGTGGCTTACTTCATGCTTTATCCTGCTAAGCTTCAAGTGATAACAGATGGCTCAGTACAATTCTTTGACTCCCCTGCTGCAGAGGCTGACTGGTTGGATAGGAGTGAAAGGCATCTATGCCCAGCTCTTACCTGACTTGAACACTACCCGGTGTTCCCACTTCAAATCTAACCTCGTCTCTCCTTTAGTTTGAAAGCGGAGTTCAGGGATGAACATTTCAACAGCACTGCATTAGTAGCAGTTGACTAACATGGCTACACCTCTTGGAATGTTGGCTTTAGCCCTCTCGTTTACCCCCTCTGCTACCCTTTTTGAGTTTTTCTATTTTTTTCACTTGCTATGCTGTCTCTTGGATCGGAAACACCCTTTGCCACTTTTCACCTACTGGACTTTGAGTGGACTGCCGTCTCCTCTCGGATTTCCCCGCCAATATATACATCGTGCAGGTGATAACTCGACCAACACTTTTATGGTGCACTGGATGCTGCCACCAAGGAATCAAAATTCTACTCTTCATAACCTTCCTCATAACCATGAGTAGTCAAAAGGATATTATCCTTTCTTTGAATGTCCGTGGCCTGCAGAGAAGAGGTCAGCTGTCTTCACATTAATCTGTCATCAAGACCCTTCCGCTGTATACCTTCAAGAGACTCACATGACTTTGAACACTCTTCATCTTCTGAAACACTCTAAATACCCCATTCAGTTTCATGCTACACACTCTCAATACTCTAGAGGAGTGAGCATAATGGTTGCCAGAGGAGTACCTTTCACAGAGTACCACCTCCAAGATATAACCATTAGGCCGTTACATGTTTCTATTATGCAACTGGGACTCTCATTTATGTGTTCTTGCAAATATGTATGTACCTCTACTATTTAATATGGAGACAATAAAGTGTCAATCATCCACAAACAATATTGGTAGTGGGTGGGGGACTTCAACACTGTTTTGCATACTTCCCTAGATCTATTTAAAACAATTCTCCCCGCATAGCCCTAGACAACTTACTCCCATTGCCCACCACATGATGGAAATTGGGCTAGCGGACCTATGGTGATATCTCCACCCACTAGCGACTCAATTTTCATGTTACGCAAACTCACACTCCTCTTTGTTCCATATAGATTTAGCGCTGGGCTCTGATTTGATCCTACCGTATACCCCTCAGGTAACCTACTTAGCCAGGGGCTTATCCGATTATTCCCCAATGCGTATATCCTTATCCTTGAAAAGTCCTTATACATTTACGCTGTGGAAGCTTAATCCATTCTGGATAACTCTTTTCACAGATCTGGATCTAATGCATAAACAATTACAGGGCTTCTTGCTTGATAACAGACACTCAACATCTCCTTTGATTATTGTTATGCTTTGAAAGCATATATTAGATGCATGTGTATCAAAGAAATATCCAGAATTAAGACTAACTCTAGACCAGTGGTTCTTAACCTTTTTGGAGGTACTGAACCCCACCAGTTTCATATGCGCATTCACCGAACCCTTCTTAATTGGAAAAATAAAATATGATTTTTAAAATTCAAAACATAGGTATATATTTATACATAGGTGCACAAAATGAACAAAACCATTAAGAACAAAGAACAAAACCATTAAAACATGATTTTCACACAAAAACAAAATAATGAATATTTACCGCAAATCAGTGTGACTTCTGCTGTTGTCTTTCAGAGGCCAGTTCAGAAATGCGCGGCATTACCTTGGCAAGTGCCACTCATGTCATTTTCGCAACAAAGTCTGTTCCTTTTCTTCGTCTTTATGTCCAGCATCCTCGAAAAGGATTGCTCGCAAAGATATGTTGTAACAAACGGTATGAAAATTCATCCCCCATAGTAATTCATCCCCCATATAGTAATTCATCCCCCATATAGTAATTCATCCCCCATATAGTAATTCATCCCCCATAGTAATTCATCCCTCATAGTAATTCATCCCCCATATAGTAATTCATCCCCCATATAGTAATTCATCCCCCATAGTAATTCATCCCCCCCATATAGTAATTCATCCCCCATATAGTAATTCATCCCCCCTATAGTAATTCCTTCCCCATATAGTAATTCATCCCCCATATAGTAATTCATCCCCCATAGTAATTCATCCCCCATATAGTAATTCATCCCCCATAGTAATTCATCCCCCATATAGTAATTCATCCCCCATATAGTAATACATCCCCCATATAGTAATACATCCCCCATATAGTAATACATCCCCCATATAGTAATTCATCCCCCATATAATAATTCATCCCCCATATAGTAATTCATCCCCCATAGTAATACACCCCCCATATAGTAATTCATCCCCCATATAGTAATACATCCCCCATATAGTAATACATCCCCCATATAGTAATTCATCCCCCTTATAATAATTCATTCATCCCCCATATAGTAATTCACCCCCATATAGTAATTCATCCCCCCTATAGTAATTCATTCCCCATATTAATTCATCCCCCATATTAAGTCCCCAAGTCCCCCCTGTGTCAATTCACTTACCTTTGCTCCGCGCGTTCCTCTCGCTGTATTCCCGCGCCGTTCCGGTCTTCAGGGCGGACTGTGAGAGGAGCCTAGCTCCTCTCACGTTCGTCACGCTGCCCCGCCTACACACATCCTGACAGCCAATCACTGGCTATCAGGATGTGAGTGGCAGTGAGACTGGCCAATCATTGCATTTCAGTCCCTGCCGCCCGAGAGGAGGGAGGGGAGCGGGCGCCCAGCACACAAGAGCCGCGGCTTGCCGACCACTGGGCATGTCATCACAAATCATATGAGTCGGGTGTGGGTCACCTCCGCCGAACCCCCGAGACTGACTCACCGAACCCCTGGGGT